TGCTTCCATTCCCGTGTACGTCTTTTGAGTATGAATGACAAGCACACAAGAACTTTCCCGTTACTTATATCTTCATCTACAAGAATGTTTTGACTGCCGTCACGCTGCCGCCCACTCACAAACTTATTTTTCTTCCCAAATTTGATGGTCACAGATGCGCAGCTAATGTATCGCATTCCAGTAGTCAGTAGCTGGTATGAAACAGCCTAGCATTCGAGTGGGCGGGGCTTGTGTTCGTCTACCAATAATACAGCAGTTGAAATGAAACGCTGTCCTTGTCATTTCATTGGTCTTACAGCCCTCAAGGTCACGATACAAAAGAATTGTCGAGTCGTTCATACTTGGCGTTCGTACTCACGATTCTCAGGTACAGCGGCCGTCAAATGACACTCAGCCAGTGTTGCGCAAGCCAAGCAAGACACTAACACGGATGACGTTTTTTGCTACATAACACAAGAAGTTATGCATTCTTCCCAGTTGCTACGGAAATAGACCTGCGATCGAATAAGTTAAGAATCGTTTTATAACCCAGCATGTGAATACAAGTTAATATCTTAAACTCACGGATAAGTGTGCAAGAAAACCACAAAAAAGATCCAAGACATGAGCACAAAACGATATTTGGTTCAGCAAACACTTCCAGTCCGTGCTGCCGTGTCTGGCGAGATTGAGGAAGCCAGTGTTGTCATACGAACGTTTCATGACACAACCAAGTCATGTAATGGGGAGAATATTTACTGAAAAGAGATTTTGTTGCCTGGAGCAGTCTAGTCCACTTACCCGCCCACCAACAGCTGTAAGTAAGCGTATTTCATCATATATGATGCTTGCTTCTATATCATCAACTGTGGAGCATTCCCTTCAAGGTGTACCCAATCATCTACTGGTGCTGTTCTCAGCCACCCGGCAGTATCTAACAAGCGTCCATAAGCTGTGGACAGTCCGGGTTACTGGACACGGCGGACAGGGGACGGGTGAGTGGCTGATGTCTCCGGGGGGGGGGGGGGGGGGGTGCGACGCGCGACGACGAACCGCGTCCGGTCAAACAAACCGGACCGCTTTTTACGGCTGGCCGGAGTCCCTGGGCCGCCGCCGCCGCCGCCGGCATAAAAGCGGTGGCCGCCGCCGGCAGCGCACAGTCGGCCGCGATGCGAGTGCTGGTGCTGCTGACGCTGTGTCCGCTGCTGGGCGCGCAGGTGGCGTCCCAGCCTGCCGCCCCGCCGCCAGGTCAGTCCCAGCTAACCGTGACATGCGTGTCGGCCGACGCCGGTGCGGTCGACGGCGGCCCGGCCCGCGCCGACACCGGACACCTCCCGGCGTCAGTCAGTGAAGGTAAATCCCTGAACGCATGGCGGCATGGATGTGATGAAATAATGTTGGATTTTGACGCGCTAATGCGGAGAGATTGCTGGTCGGCCACACGTTCACAAAACGCGAACAAATAAAGCAACACGCTAAGATCCAGCGCAGTCCTAGACTCTGCTGTCAATCCTTATATTCTGATATAGGGGTTTTGGCATCCCCTACAACATGTCTCACACCCATATAGTTATACTTCCCACTTAAGTATAGCGGCATATGCTAGATGAAAAAGTATATGCGCACGCCAGTCGACCATGAATAAAACTCGAAATCTGGTCATATCGAACTTCGAGCGAGCTACAGGGGACGGAATATGACCGCAAGTCCCGTTTTCATGCAGTCATTTGCCATGCTCCCGCTTAGCCAGCAGCTATTAAAACACACCACCTAGGTAAAACTGCAGCACAGACGTGTAGCCACGCGACGTAAATACATCAACAGCAACCCACCCTCTAAACGCGGCACTCTGATAGCGCAGTACGGCATGTCCACATAGTTGCTCCATCATTGATTGTGTTTGGAACTTTGCTTGGGAGTACCATTCGACACAGTTGGGTCAATGACTTGAGTTTGAAAGTGCCCTTTGAACCCGCGATATGACATGATTAAGGCGGCTAATATCAGATTACGTTATAATCCCTTACACCCAGCCCCATTTTGAAAACAGGCCAGTTAATCTCGTACGTTCGAAAAATTCAAAAGACCCCATATTGAATCGTGACCCATTTTGGGTACCACCAAGTGCACTTTTATCAGCTTTATTTGCTATTGTATTATTGTTTGTACATTATTGTTGTAATCTATATATTACCTATGATAAGGATAAGCCCTCCAGTACTTCGGTTATCCACGCCATAAATACACGAAGTCGCACAAGATAAGGGACCCTGATTTTTTTTTTTTTTGACAGTCCATACACATGCCACAATCAGGTGAGACATGAACAGCCCACAAATGCGCAAGGAATCAATGTCAAACCACTTGAGGAATTCGTTTCGTTAAAACTCAGCAATGTATCGCAAAAGAGAATTTCGGTCTGACAGCGTATAATTGAAACACCTTAAGCGGTCCCAAATTTATAATTTCTTTGTTAAAAACACACTCGAACTCAGTTTACCGAGACGTGCCGAATGGTGCGCTGTCACCAGGGCCTCATGTAAAAGGTTGAAGGATGACCGCAATACTTATGGTCACCGCTTTGTCACACGCGTTCGCAAATTTCGCCGTGCTTTCTCGAAAATGTCATGTTTCCTAGCAAAGGATGTTTGTGTATGTTTGTGATTTTGATGTCCTGTAAACTGACCATGTTGATGCTTCCCAGCACCAGTTCAGGTTGCTTTCCCACGCCACAGGTCCCCGGCCTAAGACCACACTTTCGAATCATTGCATACATAGCCCGAAAGCCCGCATCACTGACCGCCGTCCTGTGAAATGTCAGCAGCCGAGCCTGTTCCCTATTGGAGCCTCGGCCAACACCGGCAGGCTCTGGTCACTCCTCACAACTCCACACGGGAGTGCGCGTCGCCGCCGGGTCTGACCCGTGCCCGTGTTGCAAGCTCGGGCGCCGAGCCGGACTCGTGTCCGCCGTCGCCGCCTGGTCTGACCCGTGCCCGTGTTGCAAGCTCGGGCGCCGAGCCGGACTCGTGTCCGCCGTCGCCGCCGGGTCTGAACCGTGCCCGTGTTGCAGGCTCGTGCTCGCCGTCGGTGCCGGGTCTGACCCACCCCCGTGTTGCAGGCTTGTGCTCGCCGTCGCCGCCGGGTCTGACCCACGTCCGTGTTGCAGGCTCGGGCGCCGAGCCGGACTCGTGCCCGCCGTCGCCGCCGCTGCCGGGCCTACTGACTTGCCCGCGCTACGACCGGTGCCGGGCGGACGCCGACTGCGGCGGCGTGCTGTTCTGCTGCCCGGGCGCGTGCGGCACGCGCTGCCGTTGCCCGGCGCCGGCCTGCAGCCCGCCCTGCGGCGCCGGCCTCCAGTGCCGCTGGCGGCGTCGTTTCCGCGCACTCCCCGTCGCCCGCTGCGCGCGCATCGACCTCGACGACCTGTACGACAACGACGACCACGACGACTGCTTCGAGATCGACGACGACGACGATGACGGCCGGTACCGCACGGCGGCGGGGGCGCGCGTGCAGCCGGCCGCCACCGCTGGCCTCCGGCCAGAGCACGCGCAGGTCTACGCCTCCACGCCGTTCAACTTCTTCGGCTTTGGATCGCACCGCGTGCACCGCTTCCGAGACCGCGACGACGCGTACGATACGGATGACGACGACCGCTACGATTTCGACGACAAATAGGGCGGCGCGCCTGGCACCCGCCTCGTCGCAGCACCGTTTCACCAAACGCCTGAGGTGACTCAACCACAGCGGCGGCCCATCAGCCGGCAGAGCTGTCCGGCGCCGCATCGTATGCCATGTTTCTCGCATCCTTTTGTGTGTTCACTTCACCGAGGCTGTCGGTAGCACGAACAAAATATACAACCTACAAAAATGAGTGTAACGCGCCGTAACAGTCTTTTTGAAGCCACCGGAAAGCAAAACAACGGCTCCTTGTTTCACTCAGATTACTTCCAGTAATGTGGTTGTGTACTATAAATAAAAAGTTCCATCCAACATTTTAACCACTCAGCACATCAACAAGCATCTCGTTTACGCTACAGCATTTATCGCAGCCTGTACATCAGTGCAGATTGCAAGCAATTGCTGAGCGGCACGTTTAGGATGGGGTAGCTCAGTGCAGGGAGCTTTCGCCCGGTGACCACGAGCGGAAAGTCATGGGATTCAAACCTAGCTTTTGGATGAATTCCGTAACATCCCGCACCTTCCGGATGAGAGTTGCGTCCCCCCCTCGGCTACCCAACGGGAGTGCCGCCCCCCCCCCCCCCCCCGGCTCCCGAACGAGCGTCCCGTCCCCCTCCCCCGCTTCCGAACGGGAGTTCCGTCCCCGTCTCCCCCCCCCCCCCCCCCCCCGGCTGCCGAACGAGAATGTCGTCCCCGCGGTTTCCGACCGAGAGATCAGTCCCCCTTCGGCTACCGGCCGAGAAACCCATCTCCCCCCCCCCCCTCCCGCCTCCCACGGCAGCGATCGGCGTGAGAATTGTCGACACTGAATGCCGTTAGATCTTGAGCCACAGCCCCCAAAAAAGAAAGAAGTAAAAAAAAACACACTGAGCGGTGCGTTTGAGTTTAACGCATGTGCACAGAAGCTTCATGCATTCTAAGTCAAGTTCAGATGCCTATGAAAATGCATGCACATAATAGCAATCTTCCACTTGTACGACGCATATGAGCTTCGACTGTTATTTGTATTGCAATCCCGTTATAAGCTGTAGCGCAGAAATGGAAGCATACCTTGATACAAGTCGTGCTAACAGCCCAAATAAAGAACGCCGTTATGGCTCATCTCTTCGCATTACCGCAACTCGTAATCTTCTCGATTCGCATGCATGCCGCATGTATGCATTACAACTCTCGGTATCAGTTTCAATCTCGGTTGCCCCCGCCCGTCCTGGCGGCGCACCACCGGCGCTCCGCACAAGGGTTCGCGACGACATACGTGGCGTCCACACAGCAAACTTCCTTCCGAGGACAGGCCGGCCCGACTGTCACGTGGTGTGGCGTGAGGAGTGTGCTGGACTGACCTGTGGTCGACAGGTGGGTGGTGACCACCTGTGGTGACAGGGGGCGGGCGTAAGGGTTGGTGCGCAGCTCTTTCTCGTACTCCCGCTGCTCCTGCAGCTTGATGAACTCCTGCAGGGAGGACCTGCCGACCCAAGGGGCGGGCGACGTCAGTCCGTAGGTCCGTGTCTCAACAGTCATCAGTGACGGACACTGAGCACGCGTGCCGGCCAAACGAGCCGCACATTCCCACATGCTTAACTGCCACCATGCGATGAGGTCACTCTGTAGAACGTATGGCAGGGTGGGCCAGGTCAGTCCTCCCTCGCCTTCACAGCGGGAGGCCGCCGGTCGAGCGTGATGAGCTGGGGGAGGCGCAGACGTAGCCTGCAGGCAGCCCCACGCGAAACCAGCGGACCTTTCGGCGACGGGTAGCCAACAACGGGTGCGCGGAACATCCGACGGCAGCCGTCCGCCGTCAACCGTCACCGAGCACAAGGTCCGGTATGCACACACACACACACACATGCACGAACGGGAGGACGGTACGCCCAGGAGGCGTATTTTGGGGAGCGGATTACATTCACACCTGCTCCATTTACTTCTAACATCGTCACAGTCGGCAGTTCCCGAACTTCGCCACGCGGGGGGTGCGACACGGGGCGATGCCGGGCGTCGGGGCTGCACGTACCGGCAAAAGGCAAACACCTTGTCGTAGACCTCGCGCTCGCGCTCATCCAGCTCGACGGTGTGGCGCAGCTTCTGTTTGTTGGGCAGCGCTACCAGCGGCTCCCCTGGCCGGCCACGCGCGGGTCACAAGATCAGCTCAAGGCCGGGTCAGGCCTCGTCACACACAAAGCCCGGATATACTGACCGGCCTGGGCGGGCCGGGTCACTCCGGGCCAGAACAGACCGCCGGCAGCCAGGCCACCTCCGGTCCCGGAGCCGGGCGGCCACGACAGCGAAAGGCCACCACAAATGACCACTCGCAATGTGCGTAAATTCTGACGATAAGGCTTTACGGGGAAGTGATGTTTTGACTATATGAATGTGTGCTAGCGTTTCGAGGTCATCACACCGCCATGTTTATCGGCGGTTGCAAGCTAGGAGTCTCCGCTTCATGCTCAGTTAATGGGAGTGATTATCACCTAGGAACATTTACCACATCGGGGAAGAGAAACGTAAACATTGCAGTAGCTTGTACCTGTCACGGACGAGACTTCATCCTTGGTGCGACGCAAAACCATAGCCTTCACAATCAGACTAAGACGTTCGTCGCCTTTCGGGCTATTGTCGATCCACCGTTTCCACACCTGACAGCAGCAAACATGCATGAAATGAATACCAAGAGACATGGCATGCCCTTTACGGAGCTCCTACTCTGTATTAAACAACGAAGTTGGGCCTAAATGACGCTAGCCACTCCAGAACTGGCGCATTTGCTAGAGCGAGGACCTGCCAACGGGGTAAATGACGCTGTACCAGTGTGCCGGGCATGTCGAAGTGCAGCGCAAGAGTGTCTACGGGTTGACCGACCGGTCGTGAGTTCCAGACACATTCTCACCTGTTACGCTTCCTGGGCCACGCATGGTGCGAGACATTGCAACACCATCTTCACAGCGGCAGGCCCGCGTGAATCAAATCAAACCACGGCCACTCTTCACCAGGGGCCTACAATGCATAGAGCACCAGCGCAACCCCAGGCTTTATCCTCACGCCTTAACCCTTACCCTTAAGCCTAACCGTACCCCTGACATTCCGAGTGACCGATGTACCTCACATTCAGAGTATACCGCAGTCGTATAATGCCTCGTGCCCGCACCAGACAGTAGCCGCATCTCACACCCCCGGCTGACGACTACCACACCTCGTGCCCGCACCAGACAGCAGCCGCATCTCACACCCCCGGCTGACGACTACCACACCTCGTGCCCGCATCAGACAGTAGCCGCATCTCACACCCCCGGCTGACGACTACCACACCTCGTGCCCGCATCAGACAGTAGCCGTATCTCACACCCCCGGCTGACGACTACCACACCTCGTGCCCGCACCAGACAGTAGCCGCATCTCACACCCCCGGCTGACGACTACCACACCTCGTGCCAGCATCAGACAGTAGCCGCATCTCACACCCCCGGCTGACGACTACCACACCTCGTGCCAGCATCAGACAGTAGCCGCATCTCACACCCCGGCTGACGACTACCACACCTCGTGCTCGCATCAGCCAGTAGCCGTATCTCACACCCCCGGCTGACGACTACCACACCTCGTGCCAGCATCAGACAGTAGCCGCATCTCACACCCCCGGCTGACGACTACCACACCTCGTGCCAACATCAGACAGTAGCCGCATCTCACACCCCCGGCTGACGACTACCACACCTCGTGCCAACATCAGACAGTAGCCGAATCTCACACCCCCGGCTGACGACTACCACACCTCGTGCCAACATCAGACAGTAGCCGCATCTCACACCCCCGGCTGACGACTACCACACCTCGTGCCAACATCAGACAGTAGCCGCATCTCACACCCCCGGCTGACGACTACCACACCTCGTGCCAGCATCAGACAGTAGCCGCATCTCACACCCCCGGCTGAGGACTACCACACCTCGTGCCAGCATCAGACAGTAGCCGTATCTCACACCCCCGGCTGAGGACTACCACACCTCGTGCCAGTATCAGACAGTAGCCGTATCTCACACCCCCGGCTGACGACTACCACACCTCGTGCCAACATCAGACAGTAGCCGCATCTCACACCCCCGGCTGACGACTACCACACCTCGTGCCCGCACCAGACGGTAGCCGCATCTCACACCCTCGGCTAACGACTACCACACCTCGTGCCAGTATCAGACAGTAGCCGTATCTCACACCCCCGGCTGACGACTACCACACCTCGTGCCAGTATCAGACAGTAGCCGTATCTCACACCCCCGGCTGACGACTACCACACCTCGTGCCAGTATCAGACAGTAGCCGTATCTCACACCCCCGGCTGACGACTACCACACCTCGTGCCAGTATCAGACAGTAGCCGCATCTCACACCCCCGGCTGACGACTACCACACCTCGTGCCCGCACCAGACAGTAGCCGTATCTCACACCCCCGGCTGACGACTACCACACCTCGTGCCAGTATCAGACAGTAGCCGTATCTCACACCCCCGGCTGACGACTACCACACCTCGTGCCAGTATCAGACAGTAGCCGTATCTCACACCCCCGGCTGACGACTACCACACCTCGTGCCAGTATCAGACAGTAGCCGTATCTCACACCCCCGGCTGAGGACTACCACACCTCGTGCCAGTATCAGACAGTAGCCGTATCTCACACCCCCGGCTGACGACTACCACACCTCGTGCCAACATCAGACAGTAGCCGCATCTCACACCCCCGGCTGACGACTACCACACCTCGTGCCCGCACCAGACGGTAGCCGCATCTCACACCCTCGGCTAACGACTACCACACCTCGTGCCAGTATCAGACAGTAGCCGTATCTCACACCCCCGGCTGACGACTACCACACCTCGTGCCAGTATCAGACAGTAGCCGTATCTCACACCCCCGGCTGACGACTACCACACCTCGTGCCAGTATCAGACAGTAGCCGTATCTCACACCCCCGGCTGACGACTACCACACCTCGTGCCAGTATCAGACAGTAGCCGCATCTCACACCCCCGGCTGACGACTACCACACCTCGTGCCCGCACCAGACAGTAGCCGTATCTCACACCCCCGGCTGACGACTACCACACCTCGTGCCAGTATCAGACAGTAGCCGTATCTCACACCCCCGGCTGACGACTACCACACCTCGTGCCAGTATCAGACAGTAGCCGTATCTCACACCCCCGGCTGACTGACTACCACACCTCGTGCCAGTATCAGACAGTAGCCGTATCTCACACCCCCGGCTGACGACTACCACACCTCGTGCCAATGTCAGACAGTAGCCGCATCTCACACCCCCGGCTGACGACTACCACACCTCGTGCCAATGTCAGACAGTAGCCGCATCTTACACCCCCGCTTGGCGGCTTCCACACCTCGTGCCCGCATCAGACAGTAGCCGTATCTCACACCCCCGGCTGACGACTAACACACCTCGTGCTTGCCCCCCAGTCGCCGCACCTCCGGGTACAGACGGCGGCGCCGTACCTCGTACTCGTGGAAGGGGGCGGCGCGCAGGAAGCGCATCAGGCTGTAGAGGTCTTCGCGGCTGTTCTGGATGGGCGTGCCGGAGAGCAGCCAGCGGCGCGGCGCCTGCAACTCGCACATGGCCTTGGCTGCCTTGGTGTTGCGGTTGCGGATCTGGTGCGCCTCGTCCAGAATGACCCGTGTCCAGGTGATGGCCACCAGCGGAGAGCGGGGCGCCTGCGAACGCGGCAGAGGCTTAGCGGCTCGGCCGGACAGCACTGGACGGGCTTATTCCGTGCAGAACAGGAGCACGGGAACATATTGTGCGCGTGATGAATACGCGCTCTTTCGACTTGCTTTCTCGACATGCTGTGAGAGAAATATGGCGTTCATTAGCGGTGCCATTGGTCCTGTGAGGGGTTCTGAATCCCTCCGGGGGGGGGGGGGGGGTTCCTCCCCACCCCCAATGCTTTCCCATTAGTTCCATATCCAAAGCACTAGCCCATGTTCGCCCATTAGTTCCATACCCAAAGCACTAGTCACGAGAAATCATTCAACAACAAAAACTAAACGTTCAGATTTGTACGACTTTTCGACCTTCAATACACCAGGAGATTTAAGCACGTTATAGGGAAAACACTGGTTGCAATGTCAACACTCCACGTTTCGAACTAGGTCTGATAATCACAGGTCTGAACCACCCTGATCTCATAATGCCGAAAAGCAGAGCTAAAGGACTAACTTATATGGAACAGCAACATAAAAAATCTGACAATTGGCGCCCTTACCAAACAATTGCCTGAAGCGCTGTTTATGTCTTCAATAAGATCCGTTGAGGGGACTAAGATTGGAAATCTGTCAGATGTCCAACGTCCGGTTACACGCCCAGCACAAAATGCACCGCGACGGTTCGGCGCTTAGGTGATAAAGTGGAGGTATAATGCTCCCAAATGCCGCCTGAAAGACCGCGCCAAGCAATGGAACTGGAAACCAGGCAGGATGAGTATCTCATCCCTGACAGTGAGACTATAAAATAGCACAGCGCAAACATGTGAGTACTTGCAACAGCGACAACCTTGCTGGGACCAGGCACGCGTTTACTGGTAAAGCCCATGTCGCAAAGCTATCCCTCGGATTTTATGCCTCACGCATCCAATGCACCTGTACTAATGTTTGTGGTCAGTAGCCACTCTTTACCTTCTTTGCTCCGACAAGGTTATCTTTTCCGACCTCTTGGCGAACGAGATCGTAAGTGGTGAGCACAAAATCAGCTTTTTTAAGCCTGGAAGCAAAGAAAGCGTCAAAGAACGGGTGATATTGATATACACTGGTGCAGTAAGCAGAGCGAAGACGCATCCTTTGCATGTGAGTCAGATATGGCACAATACCTAGTTATTATAGGCGTCACATATTATATCAATACCTAAAATAGTATAATAAATAAAAATAATAATAAAACAATTAAGCCGCTTATAACCAATATATACCTCAAAATACATCAACTGCAGGCACAATTAGTTTAAGAATGTCTCATGTCATGCCAGTGCTCGACTGCTGATCAGCGGTAGGGTTTCAGTCTGAGACCGTACGGTCCGCCGCCCGGGGCGCCAGGCATTCTCCCGACCCCTGTCTGGCGGGCCTGTGTATGGGTCTACGGACTGCACCGACTGTATCGCCCTCTACACCACTGTCATAACTCAGGCGCTTCGGTCAGACCCGAACACCGCCGCGCCGGTCAGCATGGGCTCCCGCGAGCGTCCGGCGACGGCGCTCGCTCACCGCTGCAGATCGGTCTTGCGGTTCGGCCCGTGGTAGACGATGACGGCGACGCGGCCGCTGGTGCGTCGCTTCACCTCGGCCTCCCACTGGAGCAGCACCGACGCCGGACACACCACCAGCGTGGCGTTGGACGGCACCGCGCCGGCGTCGGCTGCCGGAGCAGCGCACACACTCCATGTACCGGCTGGGCGGGCGAGCACAGCACAGCGTTCGGCAGCGGCGCGAGGCGGAGGAGGGGAGGAGGGGAGGGGCACCGACCGGTGTCGACCGCGACAATTGCCGCTGATGCCAGGCGGCGGCCGCCGGTCGACCAGAGGAAACAGCACAGCGTGGTGGGCCGCGTCTACTACACAGACACCGGCACGGCTCGTGGACGCCAAACGCCAATGCTGGCTAGCGGAAGACATACGGTTGTAATGTTTCAGAACCGGTGACAATGTAGATATCATTGGACGAAAGTGTCTGATTCACTTCATATGCGTAATTGTATCAACATGTACTCAGTCATCTCTCACAATGTTCGACTGTTACATTATACGCATGCATAAAGGTTCCTGCATCCACTTACTCGCACAACCTACAGCAATAGCATTTCACAATACAGAAGCGTGTGTTCGTTATTACCTTCTTGTTGTTTGGCTTTAGAAAGCCACACAGCATCGCCTTTCTGGGAAGCTCTCTTGCTCTCCCCAGCAAAGTCATCCCGCTCTTTCTCGTCCTTCTCTATGTTAGCCGCCTTCTCGTTCTTGGCCTCGGCGGCGGCGGCGGCTGCGGCCTTCTCTAGCTCCTGCACTCTCAGGCAGTGTGAGATCATCGTCAGCGTCTTGCCGAGGCCCATGTCATCGGCTGCGGAGGGGAGGTGCCCCGGTCACGAGAGGCGCAGCGGACCCACGCCCGGAGGGAAGGTGCCCCGGTCACGAGAGGCGCAGCGGACCCACGCCCGGAGGGAAGGTGCCCCGGTCACGAGAGACGCAGCGGACCCACGCCCGGAGGGAAGGTGCCCCGGTCACGAGAGACGCAGCGGACCCACGCCCGGAGGGAAGGTGCCCCGGGCACGAGAGACGCAGCGGACCCACGCCCCGGTCGGCAGCCTGCAGCTCACCACATGCACCACTGAATCATATATTCCCATCACATCCTAGAACGAGCGGAATCCCGTGATGAACGACTGAATTGAGCGCGGCGACGGCTTGCCGTAACACCGACCCCCGATCGATCAGACTGGCAGGGCTCGACCCAGTCGAGTTCGGGGGAGACACAGCACAGACACTGATCGGAGCAGCATCGGTGATTGCTCCTGCCCCCCCCCCCCCCCCTTCCGTCCCGTTGCCGGACGGCGCACGGGCAGCGGCAGGTCACGGGTGGATGGGCGCGGCGTACCTAGTATGCCCCCACAGGGCAGCTGGCTCTCGCGCCAGCGCAGCCATGAGAGGGCGTACTGCTGGTGCTCCATCAGCGGCACGTTCAGGCAGGCCGGCGCCGGCTCCGTGGACGTCGGCGGCGGACGCGACTCTAGCGATCGGTGCAGACGCTCCAGCACCTCCGTCGTCACGTTGCACGCCTCCCGGTGCCGTGCTGCGGGCGCAACGTGTTATGTAGGGCAGCTCACTGGTGGACAATGCCGTCATCAGCAGAATGACGTAAAATTGAGCTCACAATAAACCTCGTGTCTGTCCAAGGTTTTTAGAATGTTCTTGAGTCTGTCATGGGCATAAGACTCCTGTGTTTATAGTCACAACAAAGTGCCTGCGTCTTGGCGTTTTAATGCCGTATTACCCCTATTCAAAACGTGGATACACCTTTTCCGGGCCAGAGCTATCCAATGTTTTCAGTCCTGCATGCCACCACCGCACCCGCCCTTGTTTCCTCGTTGTCACTGTATCCTGCGTCCTAACATGCCGTCCATCAGAAGCAGGCCACATGCAGCGGTCCACGATGGGCTAAAGTGCTTCCTGGCGGGGCTCGTCCGAGCGCCAGGCGCATGGCCCGTGTGAGGGTCCCTATGCGGGCTAGGCCTTGGCGGACAACCTCCAGGTGCGCGTAAGGGTCCCTGTGCTGGCTAAGCCTTGGAGGACAACCTCCAGGTGTGTGTAGTTTTACCCAATATTACTCCCTCCCTTTCATCCTACGCCCCTGGAATGGTCAATACCGGCAGAAACTGCTCCAATCCAGATCGAACCAAGCCATGAGACGAGGCGAAGTGACTTCGTCCGATTCGCTAACCTTACAGTCTATGTAAAGCGCCAAATTCTGACAGCTGAGTGCGGTCCGCCTGCAGGCCGGTGCTGCAGCTTTCAGCATGGACACCACGAGAGCGAGCCGTCCCGTCAGACCTTCCCCAACGTTCACAGTGACGCGCAGCCGGAAACGGGCATTGACGAGACCTTGCGCCAATACAATGAACAAAGCAGCGCTTAGATATCATGGGATGGATATAATGCAGCCCCACGCTACCGGAAGTAGGACCGACAGAAGTCCGGCGTTTTGTGACGAAGCCGTCCGTCGCTCCGAGACGACCTTCAACTCGATCTCGTGTTCATCCTGACCCGGCTCCCATGATCGTCGATATTTCCTGTTAGGGACCCCTACAACGGCCACGTGCCCCACCCCGTGTCCACAGCCTCGCCTGGTGAATCTCGTCAGAATGCTCACCCTCGGTCATAAACACTCCCACCCCCGCCTGGTGAACCCCGCCAGAATGCTCACCGCCGGTCATGCACACTCCCACCACCGCCTGGTGAACCCCGCCAGAATGCTCACCGCCGGTCATGCACACTCCCACCCCCGCCTGGTGAACCCCGCCAGAATGCTCACCCTCGCTCACGCGCACTCCCACCCCCGCCTGGTGAACCCCGCCAGAATGCTCACCCTCGCTCACGCGCACTCCCACCCCCGCCTGGTGAACCCCGGAATGCTCACCCTCGCTCACGCGCACTCCCACCCCCGCCTGGTGAACCCCGCCAGAATGCTCACCCTCGCTCACGCGCACTCCCACCCCCGCCTGGTGAACCCCACCAGAATGCGCACCCTCGCTCACGCGCACTCCCACCCCCGCCTGGTGAACCCCGCCAGAATGCTCACCCTCGCTCACGCGCACTCCCACCCCCGCCTGGTGAACCCCGCCAGAATGCTCACCCTCGCTCACGCGCACTCCCACCCCCGCCTGGTGAACCCCGCTAGAATGCTCACCCTCGCTCACGCGCACTCCCACCCCCGCCTGGTGAACCCCGCCAGAATGCTCACCCTCGCTCACGCGCACTCCCACCCCCGCCTGGTGAACCCCGCCAGAATGCTCACCCTCGCTCACGCGCACTCCCACCCCCGCCTGGTGAACCCCGCCAGAATGCTCACCCTCGGTCATGCACACTCCCACCCCCGCCTGGTGAACCCCGCCAGAATGCTCACCCTCGCTCACGCGCACTCCCACCCCCGCCTGGTGAACCTCGTCAGAATGCTCACCCTCGCTCACGCGCACTCCCACCCCCGCCTGGCGAACCCCGCCAGAATGCTCACCCTCGGTCATGCACACTCCCACCCCCGCCTGGTGAACCTCGTCAGAATGCTCACCCTCGCTCACGCGCACTCCCACCCCCGCCTGGTGAACCCCGCCAGAATGCTCACCCTCGCTCACGCGCACTCCCACCCCCGCCTGGTGAACCCCGCCAGAATGCTCACCCTCGGTCATGCACACTCCCACCCCCGCCTGGTGAACCTCGTCAGAATGCTCACCCTCGCTCACGCGCACTCCCACCCCCGCCTGGTGAACCTCGTCAGAATGCTCACCCTCGGTCATGCGGCCGCCGTACAGTCGGCCCAGCTCCGGATTGGAGGCCATGAGCGCGGCGGCCAGCTCTGGCCGGATGTTGCCGAAATCGAGTAGTGACTCGCGGGCCTCGGCCTCCAGGCGGCGCTGCCTGTCCGTCACCACCGCCGTCGTCGGCTCGCCACGCCTCAGCGACGCCTCCAGCGATGTCTGCCGGACGCGGACAGCCAGAGCGGTGGTCAGCATGCGCAGGGTAAGGTCAGTCCAGGTCACGTGCGGTCAGTAGGCGGGTCACGACGCGTCTAGTGGTCAGGCGAGCTCGGCGTTGAGCGGTCGCTGGGGTTCAACAGGTCACACCTGGGCGAGCCAACGGACGGCACGTGTCGGGCACAAGGTTCGCCGGACCGCGCCAGCGTCAGGCTGAAGGCCCACCGGACGGCACCAGCGTCAGGGAGAAGGCCCACCGGACGGCGCCAGCGTCAGACTGAAGGCCCATCGGACCGCGCCAGCGTCAGGCTGAAGGCCCACCGGACGGCGCCAGCGTCAGACTGAAGGCCCATCGGACCGCGCCAGCGTCAGGCTGAAGGCCCATCGGACGGCGCCAGCGTCAGGCTGAAGGCCCACCGGACGGCGCCGGCGTCAGGCTGAAGGCCCACCGGACGGCGCCAGCGTCAGGCTGAAGGCCCACCGGACCGCGCCAGCGTCAGACTGAAGGCCCATCGGACGGCGCCAGCGTCAGGCTGAAGGCCCATCGGACGGCGCCAGCGTCAGACTGAAGGCCCACCGGACGGCGCCAGTGTCAGGCTGAAGGCCCACCGGACCGCGCCAGCGTCAGACTGAAGGCCCACCGGACGGCGCCAGTGTCAGGCTGAAGGCCCACCGGACCGCACCAACGTCAGACTGAAGGCCCACCAGACCACGTCAGCGTCAGGCGGCGCACTGACCGTCTGCCGGCTGGCGGCTGCCGCCTGCCGGGCGGCATCTCGCGGCTTGTTGAGGGGCGCAGGTCGGCCGGTTACGCTGAACGGTTTGAACGGATTCTTCCCGACGCTAACTGAAGACACAAGGGCGTCCCGTAATCAACAGAACGACATCTCAGATGCACCTGGATTCGCGCGTAGTCACACTAGGAAACGGGAGCTCCAGTGAAGGATCTCGATCGTTTCTGAGATGACGTCCGGTGATGATGGCATCGTGAGACGTTATTCTGTTTGCTCATAAAAGTTAATCAGATCAACCATGCTGTTGTTACAAGTGGGAAGCAATATCACCACTTCAACATTGAATTGTTCGCAATGAAGAGTTCGAAGCCAAGTGTTTCCAACAACAGACAGGCTGACAGTTTCTTAGGTTGAGGGGGGGGGGGATCCTTAAAAAAGATATCTTGGCCAAGGAAATGTGAAAAACCATTCAGGACTCGAAGCACAGCATAACCAGCAAGCTGCCGACAACAACTCGCGCCTGGGGGCACGGAATATAGACTAAGTTGCCAGACACACAACTCTCCGTCAGGTCGCGTCAACAGAACGGGTGAGGGGGGGGGAGGGGGGGCCGACGCGAAGGTCCTATTGGGCAGCACCGCCGGGCGCGCTGATACCGCACCGTTGCTGGCAGCGGCGGTGCGCATCTGGAGCCGCATCATCTCCGCCTCCAGCCGGATGATGTCTCGCTGCAGCTGGGCCAGCCGCCCCGGCTCAGACCGAGACGACGTGGTGCTGTACTGCATCTGACGGACACGGCACGCAAGGCTGGGCGGCGAGCGGCAGGGTGAGAGGCACAGGGACACCACGGCCAGTATGAGAGACACGGGGCCACAATGTCCAGTATGAGAGGCGCAGGGGCATAGCAGCCAGTATGAGAGGCACAGGGGCATCACGGCCAGTATGAGAGACACGGGGCCACAACATCCAGCATGAGAGGCACAGGGCCATAGCGACCAGTATGAGAGGCACAGGGGCATCACAGCCAGTATGAGAGGCACAGGGCCATAACATCCAGTATGAGAGGCACAGTGGCATAGCGGCCAGTATGAGAGGCACAGGGCCACAACATCCAGTATGAGAGGCACAGCGCCATAGCGGCTAGTATGAGAGGCACAGGGGCATCACAGCCAGTATGAGAGGCACAGGGACAGAGTGGCCAGTATGAGAGGAACAGGGACACAGCGGCCAGTATGAGAGGCACAGGGGCACAAGCCTAAAAAAACCTTAGTGGTGAGATCGCATTGTCCCCCCCCCCCCTCCCCCCTCCTACCACGCCCTTGATTAACGAGACACAAGTAAACTGGCACCAAACCAACCAAATGTGAAAAATACTCATTTAAGTCGGTGCAGGGTGCTTTTGCGTCGTCTGGTGGTGTGAAGGTGATGCGTTGCAAAAGGCGCATGTCACCCCCAGTTTTATTAACCAACGCAACAAAATCGGGACCTTGTCAAGTTATCGTACCCAACTGATGTTGTAGTAAGTCACTACGTCAGTCCTGGTGGTTTTCCTTGCGCTGGCCCCCTGTTTGCTGCGTACACGCCCGGAACTCTCCCCATGAGCCGCATTCAGCGCGCCGCGCTGGACACTGCGGGGGCACGGTGTCCATTGTCTCCACCTGCATCCATATCTGTAATCCCAGGCGCACGTCCCTGCTGTTCTAACACCAGCAACCAGGCGCTATGAGAAAGAGTGTTTTATGTCATACTATGTCATGACGTTCCAGTAATGCTCACTTACAATGCACCATATCGGGAAACATTGTTTCTTCTCTACGTCTTAAACCGAACGCAGTTCATAACCGGCTAGACTAACGAAATTCCAGCCGCCTGTTGACTGGTTCCAGCCAGCTCGGTGGAGGCAGCAATACACGTACTTCAATTGCCGCTCGTGGACACCATTTTCCGCATAAGCAGCGCGCCAAACGGCCTGAAACAAAAACTTGCGAAGCCGAGCTTCATCACTGTCGACTTTGGCCAAGGCGATGGTACCTACCCTTTTCCGCTGGATCTGAGCCAAGAGCTGCTGCACTTGGTTCGGGTCGTGTCGCGCGCTGACCGTCGGAGCGTTGTTCGGAGCGCTGGCCGGAGCGCTGGTCAGAGCGCTGGCCGGAGCGCTGGCCCGTCTGCGGACCAGCGCTTCGCGCAGCTGGCGGATCTGCGCCTGCAGCCGGCGGCCGCCGTCCGGCAGTGCTGACGTGTTGGACACGCGGCGCACCATCTGGGGAGGACGCCGCGAGGCTGACATGCGCACACCAGGGAACTTTGAGCACACAAGGTACCGTCTAAGGGGTAAGGCGCCACGTCGCTGACCACAACGCAACACAACAAAAATAAGGCAACAACTCTATTCGGCTCCCAGCATTAAACCGTTTATTGCGACCTTCAACGAGCTCCCGAAATGGGGCCCAACATATTTGTCTTGTCTGGTGGTGAAGCAAAGCCGAGCAGAGCTTTCACTGGACGAACATTCTTCGACGAGGAAGCTAGTGGAGCCATTTCGACAACTTCTTCGTGTGCGTGAGTATGTGCGTGCGTGCGTGCGTGCGTGCGTGCGTGCGTGCGTGCGTGCGTGCGTGCGTGCGTGCGTGCGTGCGTGCGTGCGTGCGTGCGTGCTTGCGTGTGCATGCGCGTGCACGTGTGCGCATGCGCGTGTGTGTGCGTGTGTGTGTGTCTGTGCATGTGTGTACCACACGCGTGCAAGTTATACACAATTAAGCAATGACAGACACGCTGGTCTTCTGCACGCGGCACAACAGCGGGTATTCATAGCCAGTCCGCGAAACGAAGGCGAATTTCTGCACCTCCCGAACGCACCTGTCTGCAAGATGGGCAACTGACCTCCTTCTGTCGCAGCTGCTGCTCCAGTTCTGCGAGGGACAGCACGTCGAGGCAGGACGGGTCGGGCGATGTGCTGGCAGTGAGACGGTCACGGCCGTCGTGTCCCCAACTGGTGCGACTCTCGTCGGACGCTCGGCCGGTGCCGGCGCCCGGCGCGCCGTCGGCCTGAGCACCACCTGATTCGCCGCTGGTCTGCTCCGGGGGCGGACAGGCCCGCTTCTTGACGACGTACTGGCTGTACAGGCGCTGCGCACGACCTCTGGCGTCCTCCCCGTCGGCGACATTGCGGCGTGAGCTGCCGCCTCGGCCCACATTTCTGGTGCCTGCCCACCCCTGAGGGCTCTGCTTAGTCGACGCGCAGCCGCTTGAGTCACCGGTAATGCGCCTCGTCGCACCCTCCGACACGAGCGACGGCGGCGTGACGTCATTCGAAGACGGACGCCCGGAGTCGGGCACCGAAAACTCGCTGGACACGTCACGACGATGCGGCGGCGCGGCCCGCCAGAGCTCATTCAACGCGGGGTGCTCTGTCTCCTCGAACGACTCCTCGATGATGTCAGGCGACAGCGAGCGGCGGGCGGGGGACTCCGGCGTCGTGGCGTCCGACTCTTCTGAATCGTCCCACTTGTCCAACTTGTCCGACTTGTCTAAATCGTCCGACTTGCCCGACTTCTCCAACACGGCCGACTCATCCGACTCTTCCACCTCGTCCGACTTTTCCGGCTCGTCGGACCTTTCCACCTCGTCTGACCCTTCCGACTTTTCCGACCCGTGCAACTTTTCCGACCCGTACGACTCCTCCGACTCGTCGGATGAGATGAGGAGCGGGCTGGTGCTGCGGCCAGGCGGCGGCGCCGGTGAGCGCCAGGCCAGCAGGCGGCTGACGCCCGCCGCCGGCCGTTCCGGCTCCGGTGACGCTGGGATAACATCCACCGACGAGGAGAGCGAGTCGTCCTCGGCCGACATGGCGCCCAGCAGCAGCTCACACCTGGCGGCACGGACGGGCGCAACGCGTCACGCTAGGGATGAGTCACGCTGGTGCGGCACGATACGATATCGCACAATCGGGCAGACAATCCGACCGTGGCGGTAAAAAGCCTCATGACCCGTCGCGGTTTCTCGCCCTCACCCAAAAATTCATTCCCCGTGCGTAGTCATTTTTTAGGAGCGGGGAGCCAAATACTACCAATGTATCTTACTCTGCTGCGGGGATCGCGCCATTCGCTAGTTGGTGGGGTCGTGTGCATGCGCTTATGCATACTACGTTGTTTCCTTACCTCGTCATGGTCCAGTTAAATAGGGAAGCGCAGAAACGAAACGACTTTTGCATGACGATGCAGACATTTGTTCGGTCCTGAAACGTAGTTAAGGGGGAAGACTAAGCGACTATGCCCCTCCCCCCGAACCAAGCGGTTTACACGACATACTGGGAGGCTTCATAAGAATTTAGTGCAAATTTGCAGGAGTTGGGGCGACATTGGTAATTTGCTTCCGATGGCAAAATTTTGGTTTTACGGCTGGCTCAGTCAGTAAATAAACGCATGCAACTCATTCCAACGAAATAAGTAAATTAACGATTTCTATGCTCAAAATCGCACACAAACCACACAGCTATGATTCACAGTTCACACTTGGCAAGAAGTACCGCAAAAGCGCACACCGCAAAAAAAATCCGCCGCCATACGACCTCCAGTGATGCTTTCACAAGCGTTCACGCACGTCGTCCCATCCGTCGGCACCAGCGCTTCAGTTGCAAGGCCTTGTTGGGTGTTGCCCGTCAGCCGGTGTCACACTATCAGCCATAGACTTCATGACGTCATGGCCTCTGGCACATGCCGTGCCCTCCTCCCCCCCCCCCCCCCCCCCTCCTCCTGCACGATGGCAGTGCATAGCGTTGCACACGTCCTACGCGCCAACCTTGTCTAGAATCGTGTCTAAGGCGCCGAAGCCGGTCGCGTGGGTCTCCAGGAGCATTGCCCAGAATCCGCAGTTGGCCAGCGTTGTGTCGTACAGGGGAACGCTTGGTACCCAAACCAGACACCAACCTCACGCGTTAGTATATCGCACAACTGAGCAGGTCAAGCGATCTCGCCCGGCCGTATGCTGGTACTTATTACACTCGAGACCAAGCTATACAGAGTGTCATAATCAATGTGACGTCCTTTTCATTTAACTTGTTGTTACACATGAACTGATGTGCCTATATTAACCGCGTCCATTCTCCCAAGTAACGTCAAGGCAGTTTTGTTGTACAGGGTGACGGCATGGTGACGCGGAGGAGAGCTGAATTTTGCAAGATTTTTGGGCGTTTATGACTGAATCTTTCGCCCGTACCCCACTGCTTAACCCGTCCGTTTCTAAGACTACAGCACCATGTCATCACCCAAAATAGATGGCATTTCCAGAATATGCGTGGCAGGCATATACCCATGCAGCTACAATCCCGCAGAAAGTAACAAAACTGGGAAACTTTCCATGATTCCAACTTGAGAGGGGAATCTTTTGTTTTAGTAACAAACATATGCCACCGAATGCGGCCTGCCTCTTGAACGTCGATTTTGCTAGGAGACTGTAATGCCTCCAAGCACAAGCTTCGTCTTGTCACTCGGCATATGGAAACGGAAATAAAAGCTTGGTCTGACCTGGTCGGCAAAGGTCAACTCCCATCAGAAAATTCAAGATCCAAATTCCCATTCTCACGTTACGTGTTCACGTCCCACGCCCAACATGATCCGGATATATCGATTACGTCTTACGAGCATTTTCTATAGACCTCCAGTGAGGAATGAAGCGGCTAAAAGGTAGGGCGTAACATGGCACATCAGAGACGCGAGAAACTATGCGTCATAGTAATACATTGATAACACTAGTAGTAGTAAAATAGTGTATTCATAGCAGCAACATGAAACGCCAGGCTATCAGCCAACTATGGAGCTTTTCAAAACGGCACAGCGCCACCTCACGCAAATGTCCCGGCGAATACTTCACCGCGGCATGGATAGCACATACACGGACTTCTTAACAGACTTGTACATGACGTGTCGACTTCCGAGTTGTCAGCAACGGGACGAATATCTAACGCAATGCATCAGATAAAATCGATTTCATTTTTCCTGACAGCTTGGCGACAACTTTGAAGAACGTTGCAGGTCTGCATCTATGGTAATAGTCGTCAACAACCCGCAAACAAGCAGAAAAAGTGGAACCCATGCATCACTTCACGAGTCACTGCCAGCCTGTAGCTCCTGCTGGACCTGTATCACGTGGCGCACGTGCACTCGGGCGAACTGCAGCATCTGGCGCGTGGTGGGTCCGCCGGCCACCTTCACGTCCTCCACGTATGCGCGCACGATGGTGGACAGTTTGCGCGCGCAACCACGAAACACAGGGTCCCGGCTGCTGACACCGCGCTCAGAGAGCGCCGCGACGACGGCCTTGCTCAGACGCTGCTTGAAGTCGGCGGCAGGCCGGGTGTCGGCAGCTGGCGGCCGCCGCTCGGCTCGGCCGGCGTCGACAACCGCAGCCGCGCGGCGCCGGCGCGGCGAGCGGAGCGTGCCCAAAGGCGGCGCGCCGCGCACGCCCGTCGTCACCGACACAGCGTCGGAACGCCACACGGAGCACGTGCAGGCCGTCTCGTTAGCAACACAGCGCTCCTTCAGCTGGGTGCCGCGCCCCTCGCGCCGCTCGGCCGCCAGCGATGTGTTGTAGTGCACGCCGGGCGCGGTGAGGGCGGCCGCGTCGGGCCAGGCCAGCCGCGTTACCTCCTCCATCCAGCTGTGGTCGCCGTCGCCGGCCGCCGACGGCTCGAGCGCCGCGGCGCCGGCCAACGCGCCCAAAATGCCGTCGGCGTCCAGGACGAGCAAATCGACCACCGACCGGCCGTCGCGCCCAGCCGCGGCCAGCCGGTGCAGCGTCTGCCAGAACACCAGCCCGCGACGCTCCGGCCAGACACTCGGCTCCTCGCACGACCGTATCGGCCGCGCCAGGCGCTCAATGACGGCCCGCCATGGGTCCTGGCTGGCCTGGGCCTGCGCGGCCAGCGCCTGCAGCTCGGCCAGGCTGAGCTCTGGCAGCGCTGGCTCCGGCGGCAGCACGTTGGCGGCGTTAGATGCTAGAAGCGTCATGCAGCCGCTGTCTGCGTCCTCGCTATCGGCTGTGATGAGGAAGTGCAGGAGACGACTGCCTGGCGGCGGCTGACGGCGGACGGGTGCCCGGCCGTCCACTAGCAGCCGCGCCTCACGCGCCCAGTCGGTCGAGTCGCGCCGCTCCGTCGGGCGCGGCGCGTGCAGCACGCGCACCAGAAACGCGGTGTGGCCGTCGCCCCAGCTCGACCGCCGGCCACCGGCACCGAGGAGTGACACCCGCAGCGAGCAGGCTGTGAGCGCGGCAGCCGGCACGGATCCGAGCGCCACCTCGGCCACTGCGTCAGCGCCTTCGTGCAGACAGAACGCCACCTGGCGAGCTTCGGAGGCGGCGCGGCCGTGCGCCGCCGCGGCGGCGGCCGTCAAACGCTCCCAGCTATCGGCGCCGCAGGCGGCCTGCAGGCAGAGCCGGGCCGCCGGCGGCCCGTCCGGCTGAAGGCGGAGGCTGGCGCGCAGCGTCGGCCGCAGCGACGCCGTCTCGTCCGAGCCGAGCAGGCGGCGCCAGGCGGCCAAGTGGGGCAGCGATGCGGCGCCGTGGGGCGCGGTTGGCCGCAGTCGCAGCACGGCGCCGTGCCAGAGCCGCCAGCGGAGTAGTGCGGCCAGCAGGCGGCCGTCGCCAGCTGGCCGCTCGCCGGCGCCGTACAGCCACACCACGCTCACTGTCGGGTCGTGATCAGGCAGCTGGTCGGCCAGGCGGTCCAGCGCCTCAGCCGCGCCGCCGCCTTTGTCACAGCTCTGCTCCAGATCGGCGACGTCGGACACGACGTCCAGCCGGCGCCACGCCGGTCGGCCGGCCGAGCCGGCGGCCAGCGCGACGAACGCCCGGCCCGTGGCCCCGGCCGGCTCGTCCTTAAGCTGGCGGAGTGTGTCGGCGACGCCGAGCCGCAGCGCGGGCCCAGCTGCCGCCGCCGGACCCGTCCACACCACAACCGTATAGCTATCCATGGGCTGGCTGCCGCGGACTCAGCCTCTGGTTGGAGACAGAGGCAACACATCAGATGCTGGGGATGGCAATAGCGGTAATACCCAATATGCAGACTTAGTGCAGGCAGAGGTCTTCCACCTAGGGTGATTTCAATTATAAGTTAACAATGCAAAGGGTTGGCTGCTAGTGTACAACATTAAAATAGTGGAAGTAAACAGCAAAAGAAAAAAGACAACAGTAAAAGACAAAACTATACAAGAATGTTATGTCATTTTCCACAACTTTTGGCATCACAACCAGACTTAAATTATGTCTGTTTGCAACCGTGATCAGCTTTGGAAAATGCCCCTCTTAATTCACCTATACATGTTGTTGCCATAGGGGCTTTACGACGCACCCAGCTGTCGAGGCCGTACGGCGTCGCCCGCCTTTCACCCTGGCAGGACGGTCTGACACCGCGGGGAATCGAACCCCGAACCTCTGATTCCTACGTGGGCAGTGGTTAACACTGCACTATTGGCACCTCATATATACATGTTCATGACTGCCAAGAGCATCAACCGCCTTGATGAGCATCAATCACATGATAATCATAGCAAATCAAGCTGAGGCTGGTAATGCTCGCCGCGTATCTGCGCTGTACAGATCACAAAGGACTCTTGTCTAATGCAAATGACTTCAAAGTGTTGTGATGACAACCACCCCACTGCACAGATGGTTGCAAACACCCAAACAGCAGTGCATGATGCGCATTGTTGTTCATGTTCAAATGTCCATCAAGCATTTCATACGCTCCAGTGTTATAGCATAGCTTGATCTTGTATGTCTGTCTAGGATCACATTACTTAATTTTATGTGTCTATGTAGTCACTCTGAGGTGCAGTTATAAGCTAGCTTGACAATTATTGGTGACGCAGATACAGGTATGTTCAAAAAGGTGGAATGGTGCTCAGATACCACATGATTGTGGGGCAATGCCAACCTGAATTCACCAACTGAAAACTTTGCCTGCAGGCAAAGGGCAAAACTTTGGGCAAAAACCTTGCATGCATCTCACTGGACAATGGAGATGGTTCTGAACTGAGCAGCTTTTCCCAGACCAGAACAAAACAAAAATGATGACCAATGGCAAAGCACTCTAGGAGCAATGCTCCCAACTGCCCTTTAGATGTGGCAGGGGCAAGTGACCTGAATACTTATTAGGCAGTTTTCAGATCCCCTGGGCCTTCTAAATCATCAAAAAATGGGAAACCTAAGATGGCAACATGGGACTATATAGGTCTCAAAGGGCATACGCAATGCAAAAACAGGGCTACTAAGCAATGAACATCGCCCCTTGGGGCTTGGCAGGAGCCCCCCCCCCCCTCATACCCCCTATTGACACCCTACATTCCTGGGTAAAATCCTGGCTATGCCACTGGCAATGGTTTCAAGTTCTGCAAAGCTGATCTCATATTCATTATGCATGTTTTACAAAACAATAAAATGTTTTGTGTCAATTCACTTAGCTATGACATGAGTTATGCCATTTGCAGATAACATTTATTACAAATATTGTTTGTGTTTGCTATATTGTGGCAATAAATCAACACAAAATGTGAATAATGGATGCAAGATAGAAGCAGAATATAAGTACAATGATAACAGTAACAGTAAGTAGAATGAAGTATAATATAAAGGTATGAGCTGTTCATAAATGTGCAAGAACTCTTAAAATATACCATATTCATGCATGCCATCCACCTCAATTAAACAAACTGTTTCTCTTTCCTTACCTGAAAAGACAATCCAATTGCCATCAGCAGCTTGTTCAACCCTTGCCCGCGCAGGGCTTTTTAGACATTTGGTATGCAATGCATTGTTTTACCCAGATGTGAACTGGATCATGCACGTATGTAGATGTCAAGCAGTAACCTTTACACCCCCTATCTAAGCAAGTTTTGTGAAAGGCTTAGGTGCTTTACAACTCGTGACTGATATGGCAGTCTGCAAAAAATATCAATGCACTAGACACATATATAGCATTAATGCACTAAACTTCAAACATGTGTGCATCTCACTGAGGCTAGGCCAATTTGCACAGAATTTTCAGCTAGCCATTTACTGATTTGTGTGGGGTACTTTTGACTGGAATTACCTTTAAGCATAATGACTCTGTAAGTACATTGGCTACATGCACTGTAATTGGTGATGATCATGCACTAAACACAAAGTGCTCTGATTTAAATAACTATGAGCTGAAATAGCTGTCTTGGCCAATACATTGCTGCTGCCAGACATGTTTAGGATAACACATCAAATTTCATGGATTCTTGTTACCTTGGCCCCATACATTTCTATGGTTCTTGATGCTGCTTGATGCGCAGTAATGTTGTGACCGCGCGCAGTAATGGTGCCGGCGTCGCGGCTGCTGTGCGTGTGCGGCGCTCGGGAGTTCGCCATCGTAATTGTGAAAAATTCGACGGTAAGACCATGAATCTACCTGTTTTGTGATTATTTACTACATTTCCTGCCTTAAACACGACGAATGGTGTGCAATGATTTTTTCTAACGTTAGGTAGGAAAGTACATCCTGACCACCATGGTTGCAATTGTCCGAACGCATCGTCCGTGATAATCGTACGCGACAAAGGTGAAAATGTAATTATTTAGCCTTTGTGCGAAGGCACAAAGGCTAAGGATGACGACAGCACATGGCTGTCGTCATCCGTCATGACAAACTCACCTTACGTTGATCTCTGGACCGAAGAGGTAGAACAATACGCCACCTTATTGCCGATAACCTGCCAAAATACGATACACGCGCGGCCAACTCTCCCAATCCCAGCTCCCATGCGCTTTTGGAAACAACCGCCAAAATGGGCTCTATTCAAGCCGCCGCATTGCTGCATTCTGGGTAGCTCTGGTAGCTCTGGGTAGCTCTGGGTAGCTACTCTGACGTCATCATAGGACTGAGTCATATGGCACCAATGCTATGGCGGCGTGAAAGCGCTGCTCTTTGCGGGCTAATTTAAACAAAGATATGTCCATAAGCCGAACCTTTTCGACCTAGCACACTTGATGAAACAATCTCAGCTGTTGACTAACGTCGGTTTGCAGCAGGGCTACAAATTTATTGCTGAAATACGCTTCCGGTATGCCCCCAGCAGTTACCCATTCACCAGTGATTTGTCCCAAGGAACTCATGCCGGATGTGCTTAGAAACAGTCTGTGTAAAAGAGTACGACATGCAGCAACAACGACAACATAGAATGGAAATGAGATACCGCGGGCCAGACGGGCTCGCAGCACCCTGGGACGCGCATGCAGAAATTGGAATGTCCATCCTGTAGGCTAAGGGGGAGCGTGGTTAGGGTGGGTGCAGGGTTGGCCAACCGCTATGGGGAAGTGTGTAACACGTCAGCGGGACGCTATCCAAGCGCTAACGAAGATGGAATGCGTGTGTGATGCGCTCACTTGTTTATTCCTTTTCTGTGCTCATTATTACATAAGCCGGATGTTGGTATCCGTAGCTGATTTATGCAATTGATTGTGGCATAGCCCGCCTCTGCTGCCTCGTTAGGCTTCTCCTGCTTCGTTAGGGCTCACATGAGCACCTAGAATTGCGCACCGTCGAAGGTTCTAGAACGCCCCATCCTCTGTGTTTGGAGCCCGCCCGCCAGCGCCGCCCAGCGGCCCCGCGGTATATAAACTGACCCATACTGCGTAGTGGGCGGCTGACAGAGAGCTAGAAGGCCCAGGCTAGTGTGAGACGAGGTGCAGATGCGGAAGGACCACGACCAGGGTCACGACGCTGTATAAGTTTACGACGCGAGCGCACTACGACCGAATATAGTCAACCTTTTCACGCCGGTTCCCTGGTGGACAATAGTGAAAAGAAGAACGCAGGTCACGAGGGTGAATTGTTGCAAATGTGTGCTTAACCCCCATGGGCTGAAATAGAGTGCGCGCCATTTCAGTTCAAACTAACAATTTTCCTACAAAATGGGCCGATTTCTGGCAAGTGTTGCAATGTCTGCCAGTCACAGAGTTGAGGCCCATATCTCGGCTCCGAAAAAGTCTAATATGGATATTTTAGGGTAGTGGTGGTATTATTCTCTGCGCACCATTTTTATCTTATCCATCCAACATTATACATTTCCAAGTTAACCGACGCCTAGGAAGATCATAGCACAGCAACAGTGAAATTGTTGGCACCTGCCCTCCTCACCTTACCTTATTTTCACATTTCGCTCCATTTTGGTACTGCAGTGCGAAAACGTATTGGCAGCCATTGCCGATTAATTCAATGTAAGCATTACATGATATTTGTTTACATATGAATATTCTTTTTACAAAAACGCATAACATAAAGATATCACGCGCTTTGGCAGTGTGCATACACCCTCAAAAACGGAGGGCGGTTACGCACCAGGCTTATACACCGTCCAAAAATCTTTCAGATGGTTGAACGTGTCAAGCATATGCGGATTGGCAGTCTAGGAGGAAAGAAAGTGCAAAAATGCAGAATTCCGTGCGAAAAGTCGCCTCTACGCGTGATAGACATCACACGATCACTGGTATTGTAGCGCAGCGAATTACGGCAGTGTTTCAACATGTTCCGCTGCGCCGTCTGCAAATATAACTAAGTCACGAGTGGATTGCGACAAATTGCGACGCGCCAAGCCGCGTGTGTCGCACTTGTGCACGTCTGTCAATCTAGCAGCAGATTGATATCCAATTGCCAGTTGGATATTGCGGGGCGTTTCGATTGCCTTGAAATTTGGTGTGCAGGGCCTTCTCAACACCCTGATTCCGAAAATCACTCCCTTTGGGAGGAATTTTGCGTAATTTTTTAGTTATGCGCTGCGTAACATCCCAATGTTATATTGCGGGACGTCTCGATTGCCTCCAAATCTGGTGTGCAGGGCCTTCTCAACACGCTGATACCGAAAATCACCGCCTTTGGGGTGTGATTTTGTCTAATTTTCGGGTTATACGCTGCGCAACATCCCAATGTGATATTGCGGGGCGTCTCGATTGCCTCCAAATTTGGTGTGCAGGGTCTTCTCAACACGCTGATTCCGAAAATCACTGCCTTTGGGGTGGAATTTTGCGTAGTTTTCGAGTTATACGCTACGCAACATCCCAATGTGATATTGCGGGGCGTCTCGATTGCCTCCAAATTTGGTGCGCAGTGCCTTCTCAACACGCTGACCACCGGTGTGTCGACGCCGCCGGCCGGCCGGCTATCAGCTGGCGGGTCCGCTGACCACCGGTGTGTCGACGCCGCCGTCCGGCCGGCTATCAGCTGGCGGGCCCCCTGACCACCGGGGTGTCGCCACCGCCATCCGGCAGGCTCGCGAAGTGCAGCGTCTCCACCATGGCCAGCAGCAGCGGGCTGATGTTGCCGGCCAGCCAACAACATGGGCATGGCGTGCACAAGTAGCATGCCCTATTCCACCAGCGTCACCAGCGTTCTTGGGAGATAAGACAGACGGTGACATCACCCAAATCTTCAGGCTCCAACGGTGAAGCACGATTTGTTTGGTCATTAGAGACATCTTGTCAGTTTGTTTTTGGTCAGGACAAACAATGCTCGTGGCTACATCGGACTATTACTCAACCACCTTAAAGGTCAGAAACGAAACAAAGCTGAGAGGGATGCCACTGGGCGATACCACCAAGTCAATGATATCACATACCACACGGTTATCAATCACATTTCGCGAACTGACCTTCTCCAGTGAACTGATACGGACAGGCCCAAAGGCGAATTCCAAGACACATATTCCAGAGCGCATCTGAGGTGTCACGCGTCGTATAACTCGGGAGCTACGCAAAATTCCACCCCAAAGGCAGTGATTTTCGGAATCAGCGTGTTGAGAAGGCCCTGCACACCAAATTTCAAGGCAATCGAGACGCTCCGCAATATCACATTGGGTTGTTACGCGGCGTATAACTCGGAAATTACGCATAATTCCACCCCAAAGGCAGTGATTTTCGGAATCAGCATGTTGAGAAGGCCCTGTACAACAAATTCCAAGGCAATCGAGACGCCTCGCAATATCCAACTGGCAATTGGATATCAATCTGCTGCTAGATTGACAGACTTGTGCCCTTGTGACTGTGACAGACTTGTAACAAGGGCCAAACAAACATGGCCTACTACATGGCCTTGGCCTGAAAGCATACCCAGCCCGTGACGCCCAGCCAATAGAGTCCCGTCGTTCTGCACTGAGCGTGTATTCAACAAGATTGGCGATAAGGATATTAATTTTGATTTGTTATTTTCACGTTCAATTGCCCGCCATAAGTCTTCAATCCCACATGAACAGGCATTGTCGACGCTGGCACTGCCGCAGTTTTATGTAACGCACCCCGATCAGTAGCCTAAATGGCTCCGTCGACTGGTAAGCATGTGTCTGGCGATGGGAGTAGAAGATCCTGCCTGGAAAAACCTACTTGCTCCATTTTGCTGGCCCTGCAGTGTTTGATCTGCAAGAAACTCTGCCACAGCCCCCGCCTGTCGCGGGAGAAGCCGCAGATGATGTATACAAAAAGATGTGCAGGCAGCTCGGGTCATATTTTGTTCCGCAGAAAAATATAGACGAGTGCGATGTGTTCCGCCAAACGATGCAAATGGAAGGTGAGTCCACTGACGCATTTGTGGCTCGCCCCAGGCACCCCGCCAGTACTTATGATTTCACCGATTCTGCCCGGGAAACTCACCAGCAGATGATCATGAGAGTCAGAGATCCCAGGGTGTGGGAAAAGGCCCTGCAACAGAAAATGACATTCGAAGAATTGCACTCACTTGCAAGAGGCTTGGAGTAAGTCAGAGCCCAAGCCGGTGCCATTGAAGCATGCCATTCAAACAGATTTGCCGGGCTACAGGCAAATGTCCAGGCACAAGGTGTAGTGCAAAAACAGGTCAGGGTACTTTCCTACCTCAACAAAACAGGTACTTTCCTACCTCATGTTACAAAAGAGCATTCTACATCAATCGTTGCTTTAAAAGCTGAACATATCATAATTAATTGTAAAATAGGTAATCTTTACTCTTACCTTGGAACTTCACTAATTACGATACCGAACATCCGACCGCCGCAAACACACAGCAGCCGCGACACCGGCGCCATTACCGTGCGCGGTCACAACATTACTGCGCATCAAGCAGCATCAAGAACCATAGAAATGTACGGGGCCAAGGTAACAAGAATCCATGAAATTTGATCCTCGACGCCAACGGGACGATCGATTCCAGGGGGATTCGGTGGGGAATGTAAAGGAAAATGAGAACATGGCGGCTAAATAAAAGCTCACTATACGGTACCTATATATGGCATGGAACATTTACCAAAGTCAGACAGTTGGACCAAGCACAAAATCTGCAAGCTCAGCATGAAAGCCCACCTGAGGAGTACCTCCTGAGGATCAAGAAGTCTACACAGGAGACAACAGCAAGTGAAACCTGTCCAGTTGAGACAACAGTGCAAGTGGATGGAAAGCCAGTGCAGTGGGAAGTTGATACTGGTGCAACAGTGTCATTGATGTGGGAACAGCTGTTCCGCAAGCTGTGGCCAAACAGGATATTGGAGGAATCCAGACAGAGACTGAAAACCTACACAGGTGAATCTATCTCTGTGGTAGAGGAAGTCAAGGTGATTGCTGCAAGAAAGTAACACAAGAGTCCAGCTACCCCTGATTGTAGTGTGTGGATCTAGCAAGCCACTACTGGGTAGAAATAGGTTCTCCAAGGTGAAACTCAACTGGAATGCAATCTTCCACTTGAAGGCCTCACTGGAGGAAACAGCACAAGAGATGCTGAAACAGTTTCCAAATCTGATGAAG